TACACAAACACACACACACACACACACACACACACACACACACACACACACACACGCACGCACGCGCGCGCGCGCACACACACACACACACTCACACCTTACTCAATGACGACCGGGTGTCGGAGTGTCGTAGTGAGGGGGGTCGGCGCATAGAACTATAGTCTCAGGAGCGGACAGCCCTGGATCAAATCCCCAACTGGGCGATCTTGACCTCGGGTAATTTTGTAGGGACTTTTCAATACCCTCACTCCCAAACTACATGCCGGTCCTATATAATATTGTGAGATGGTTGTTAAATTTTGAGGTCCCGCCTCTTTAAATAACCTAGCAGTACTGACAGGGGCTTTAAAAGACATGCACTTACTTTACAGAAATACAATGCTCTTCATAAAACACCACTCTCGGGTCACGTTTAGCCTTAGTTTTAGCAAGAGTTTGACGGCACTTGGCAACACAATAAGGTCATTTAAGTGCCGAAAAATAGATGTGTTACTAGAGAGTAACATACACAAAAAAGAAGGAGGAGAGATAAGGACGATAGATGTTTGATAGGAAAGGAAAAACCACACCACAGCATCCGCCAACCACACACTAGCCTTAGTTTTAGTAACAGTTTTACTACGACACTAGCATAACAAATAGAATATAAGTGCCGACGATAAGAAGCGTTACTAGAGAGTGACAAAGAAAAGGAGGAGAGATAAGAACCCTTGATCTTGATACACACAATAACGAGGAAACCCAGTCAGCAGAGCATCCACCAACCACTCACTCGGGTCATGTAAATCAAAACGACAAAGGAACGGCAACTGACGACGCAAATGAGTGGACAATTAACTCGTATGGTATGGGCGACAGGAAGCGCCCTCTTCATGACCTGCTTTTTTGGGGGGGGGGGGTTAAAGAGGAGAGGGAAAGAGGGGGAGAAATATGTAGAGTGAAAAGGGCACTAAGAAAAACAGAGGAAGATAGACAGATAGACAGATAGACAGATAGACAGATAGATAGATAGATAGATAGAGAGAAGGAGGGGGGGTTGATACATAAATCAATAGGTAGATGTAAAGAGAAAGAAAGAGAGAGAGATAGAGAGAGATAGAGATAGAGAGAGAGAGAGAGAGAGGGG